ACACACACACACACACACACACAGAGTTTAAGGTGTGCTCAGTGGCATCCTTCGAGGAATAAAAGCCGGAGAAAAAACATCCCATATATTGTTACTGAGCCTTAGCCTTTTCATTCTGAAATTCTACAAAGACCCATTTTTTTAATAGTGGATTTTTCATTACTACAAAAACCCAATCCTATTAGTTTTCCAGTCTGTAAGAAATCTATCATCAGCTTCAAAGGCAACAGAATCAGATCTGTCTGAATTTTGCTCTGAAAGATACAGAATACACAGAAAATGGACGGACCCAGCAACTGAGCCCAGAAAACAAATTCGGGCAAGATCTGCCCCTAAACAGGACTACTTTCATGAGGAAGTCTTGCAGGATCAAACCCCAAACTCCCTATGAATCACTCCATGCAACCTGAGAGCAAAGCACCCCTTAGCACAATCATGTGTACTGGAAAAGACTCATTTATCTTGAATAAATGCTGCAGATGAGGTTATTTGGTCATCAAATCTCATTTCACAAAGTCTTGAGCCACAGCCTCAACTATGTAAACTGTTTTATTTCAACTAAAGTCATGACAAAATAGATCTCTTCACTACAAGAGCTTGAAGAGATGCTTGAAATAGTAACACACACCACCCCCTGGATAAGACTACAATGTTGTGGATAGAGAAATATTAGGCTTACTTTAAAACTTGTTTTTAAATAAATACAAAGTAATTCTTAGAAAGTTTCATAATTCTCCCTGGATCCCAAATATAATGTAGTAAAACTTACAATTTCATTTTCAAAGAGGTTCATGAATGTGAAGTGATTCCTACCTATTTCTCTAAGGACAGGTAATTATTAAGTGTGTCCATTCTGTAGGTGGGTAAACTGAGGCACAGAGAAGCTGCTTTAAACTAACCTGTCTTAGATGAGGAGACTGGATTTATTAGTTACAGATCCTCAGGCCTGACAGATAAAACAACACTTTCGCTCCAAATATTCATTTTGCTAGACTATGAAAATCAAGTTTTAACCAACATTTCATTCTCTCAAAAAGCCGAATACTAGAAAGAAAACTATACATATATATTTTAAGAATGTCCTAACCTGCTAAGACTATTTTAGGAATAACATTTTTACTTGATTCTGACAGATGATAGCACACTGACAGTCTTACTCTTTTAGAATGAAAGAGATGCAACTGTGGAAAAAACCCCAAAACATTACAAGCATACAGCTGGCAAACAAAACAAAAACACAATTTGAAACTAAGACCTCAATGTTTTCTCCCAACAAACAGAAGCATAAAACACCCTCATTTCCCTGATGCGCAGCTAACTTTCTTGAACAGCTGCTTGTTCAAGACTTGCAGAGTAGTTTATAAACGGAGAGCGAGTAGGAATGCAGTACAATCAGCGCGTTTAAAGGGCCTCTCATTACGACGTCCACCACTTAGAAGCCTGCTGCAGCTTACATTATTAAATCTACAAATGGTTAATTTGTTCTTCAATGTAATTTTAACCTTCAAATTTCAAAGTAAGCAGGGGAAGGAGCCTGTCTGTAAAAACTGATGCTAGAATTTCCAAGTATACATATGTAAGGTCAAGCCTAGCTCACAATAGAAAATAATTATACTACTACTGTGATTTTTCTTCTAACTGTGATCAGTAATGTCAACAAACATCCTACTATACCCTCTTACCACATGTGGCACACCAGCTGCTGTATAGGTTGTGCACTGAACTGTTGAAGCTTTTTAATACAGAAGAAAAATAGAAGAAAACGGTGTTAATGTCCTCTTCCCAAGAAAGAGTGCAGCAAGTCAGTTTTAAACTAGAAATGCCACATTCACAATGAAGAAGTACAAGCAGCAACTGATCTACACCTCCTCAGCTTTAGACATTTCCTAAAACTCGAGCACATTTTAGCAAAACCCTTCACTAACACGCTTGGAAGAAAGAGAAAGACAAAGTGGTAAAAAGCAACGCTTTCATACTTCCAGGAACTTTACCGGGCTCCCTAGGGGGGGGCTGAGAGTTGGTTACCTCCAGGACTGGGAGCTCCTGTCGCTTTAAGAGCCAGTCTCACACTTACACACTCGCACACACACTGACAAGTGCTGCGTGTGCACTCTTTTGCTGCCAGCCTCCACTTTGCTGCGAAGTATCAATGAAATGCCAGGCACGCAGAGGACAGCACCCAGACCTCCTGCCGCCGCCAGAATCCAGAGATTTGGCTCCCAGGAAACACACACACCGCCCCCCCCCGCAAAGGTTTTGCCCCCAAAAAATCCCAAGTTTGCAAAAGCCAGGTGCCGCGGAGGCCGGGGGAGGTGACCGAGCGGGGCCAGCCTGGGACACGGGGATGTGGGGCACGGGAGGGCTCCGAGGGCAGGGTGCAGGCAGGGGACGGGGCAGGGGACGGGCAGGATGGCAGCATTTTGCAAATTACAGGGCTGTCTCCTAGCAACAGACAACACATTTGGCTCCACGTGATTTGCAAAGGCCCCAGAAAGCAGAGCTCGCAGGGGGACAGCAGCGCTCCCCCCGCGGTTTTAATCGCCGGGCTCTGCAACAGCCTCTCGTTTTGGGAAAGGGACGGGCAGGGGCACTGCGACCCACTGACGCGCCACGCCAAAACGTGCCCCTCACCTTTCGTATCCAGCTCCACGTGGATGATGTTGCCCATGACGGAGGTGTTGTGAAGGTGCTGGACAGCCTCCCGGGCACCCTTGACAGTGGCAAAGATGACTTTGGCAATGCCCAGGTGCTTCTTGTTCTTGGGGTTGTAGAGAATCTCCACTTCTTCCACTTCGCCGTATTTCTTGCACATGTCGGTCAAAAAGTTTTCACGGATGTTGTCGTTCAGCTTGGCAAAGGTGACCTGCTTGGGAGGCACTGGCCCCACGTAAAATTCGTCAATCTGGAAACGGGTACAAGGTGTGGGGGGGTGATAAAAAAAATAATCGTCAGCATTAAGGAGTGCGGGGGATGGCATAAGGATGGCACGGGAGGGAGAGGGTTAAAGCATCCTGCAAACTTTGGGGAAAGAAAACTGTCTCCAAGGCTCTGGGATGAACCCCGGAGCTGAGCAGAGCCTCTGCTGCTGCAGCCATTCATTGAAACAGGCTCCTTTCTGGGCTACAAATACATATTTTGAGCAGTTCTGTCAGCAGAGAGCCCCCCTTCACTGCCCCCCGCCTAAGAAGCCCCCAAGACACAGCTCCAAAACCTTCAAGTGATCTCGTTAGACAGATGCATTGATTTCTTGTTATCTTTATAGAAGAGGATTATTGTTAAACACTTTGCCAAATAATAATGTTAATAGGAATATGACTGTCATTTAGACGGTCCATTAAACTATTTGGAACTGAAGCTTCACTCCCAGACAAACAAGAATACAGAGCTAAACCCCAAAGTCGGGGCAGTACCTTGAATTTGGGGACAGACAGCTCCAACTCCTTAGTTTTGGTCCATATTCGCCCTATTCTGGGATCCCTGACACAATCCACAGGAGCGATTCCCGAATTCTGGGAGGAGGAGGAGGAGGAGAGAAAGCACAAAACCAGCAATAACAGGGCTTGAAATTTAAGACACAAATAAAAGAAAAAAATAAACCCAAGGAAGCACGGGCTGTCTCGAGGGAAGGGGAAAGCACACACACACACACACATATACACACGTGTCAAATTGCAATACTGCTGGGAAATGCACACAGATTGGAAACACGGCAATAAAGCCGCAGGTTTGGGCTCCTTCTCGGGCTCCTGACAGTTGAACACAGAGTGTCAGGTGGCAGCAACTTCGGTGGCTGCGTGTGTGTGTGTGTCCCCCCCAGACCCCCCTCCCACACACATGCGGGGATTACCACGACCCGGAGGGACCCCAATCCCCCAAAACGCCGGTAAGACGGAGGCGGAGGGGAGACACAACACAATGGGAGAAACCCACGACCCCCCCACTCACGGGCATGCTGAAATGTTGCCCATCGTAACGGTAGAGTTTGTGCTGTCCTTTTTTCAGAGCCGGGTCAATAATCAACTTGTAACTTCTCCAGTGGTGATTTCTTTTCTCGACAGAAGTGCTGGCTTGCGTGCTGTTCTCCATTCCGTTGATCCAACCTGGACGGAGGGGGGGGGAGAGGAAGGGGGAAGGGGAAAAGAAAAAAAAACCCACACGGAAAACCATGAAGTT